TAGTTCCTAGTTCCTTTCGTCTCTCAAATCTCTCTTTACCCTCTGCAAGGAGAGAGGGGCCAAAACAGCCGTCGAGATCAAAGCAATCGTTATCAGTAACGGCAACATTGGCGCTTTCCCAACTGGTACGTACCGCAGGAGCCATTTGGTATTTGTGGAAATACATATATTGGAGCACCGTCACTGTGTAGGATTTTTACGTTTAATTCAATTTGTTGATGCTTTTTTGTTCAGTTCTTTTTAGTAATTAGTAATCTTCTAATAATTAAAAATCTTTATTTCAACATTAAGATCCTTATTCGAAATCTACGATAGAATCTGAACGGTGGAATCCTGCGCCTGGTGCATTGGAGACATCCACTTTGTCTGTACAACATTTAAACAGTGACTCAAGCAGACACGCACTTTTCTGTGCAAACAATGTAGGAACTAGATATCTGTTTAAAGATAATTTCGCTCTGCCCTGAATATGTAATTTCAATCATGTTAATATTAGTATTACCAAGCTGTGATTTGGTACAGCTTCGGCTGGTGATACACACTCGCTGGCTCGTTGGACTAACCCCCCTATACTAACCCCCCCTAGCTATATGCTATAGCTAGTATAGTGCCTCGGCACAGAATGGCTTAGGGTTACCGAAAAGGAGATAATCACCTCAGGCCATCCCAACTTGTGGGAGAGACCTGCCCTTGTATTGTTGTTGTTGTATATTATATATTGCATATTCCCACACTAATACACGTACATATGGAGTCGAGAGTATGAAATATTGCTCCTCAAAACTAATTTTACTTACTTACTTGGGTTACTTGGGGTTGCTTCATAGATCCTCTATCGGGTCATCAGAACGGCTGACCACCCGTGCAGCGAAGTTGCTGTCTTTTCTGCGCTCCAGTTCAATAACGAATTCCCGTTCTGGCAACAATATCCAGTAACAGGAGGTTCGTCCGGAATAGATGTAACAAACTCCGTCAACAATGACTTGAAACGTAGGGGGTCCTCGATAAGGTGCAGGTTTGCGGGAATGATGTTCCACAATCGAGGCCCCATCACTACAAATGAGCTGTCAAAGATCGATTGATTCCTTTGGCTACTGGACGTTGACAAGCTAGGGACTACTGCTTTCTGGCCATAACGGAGTGTATCTGTAAACTGAACGTTGACATCATTAGGACACTTCTTGTGTAGGATCTTCCACATATGAATGATAGTGTAACGTTCTCTCCTCCGTTGAAGAGACATCAATTTTAAGGCCTTCAGTCTCTGCCAATAGTTCAGATGTTGCACACCATGTATTTTGGACGTAAATGTACGTTGTACTCCCTCTAGCTCAGCGATATCAGCTTGCTTAGTTGAATTCCAGAGGGGACAACAGTACTCGAGATGGCTTCTGACTAATGACTTGTAGAGGGTCAGCATAGTGATCTTGTTTCTCGATCTAAAAGCGCTCAGAACCCAAGAGGCAACTTTACGGGCACGATCTGCTATCATAGTAACATGTGAGCTCCAAGACAAGTCCGCCGAGATCAAAACCCCCAGGTCTTTGACTGCATCCGTAGGGTACATTATGTTACCATGCGAAACTTGATAAGTTTGCGTCAGGATGGCAAACGGGAGGTCTTGCAAGCTGTTTCGGGGACAGTGTTTGTGCACGAGTATCTCAAATTTATCCTCATGCAATGACATGTTATTGCAAGCAACATCTTATGCTGGTGGCTTTATTTTCTGTACTTGATTGTCGATCTGCATTGGACGTTCAATACGATTAGTTCAATATTAGCTGATAATTTTATAGCATTAAAGATGTTTTTGTTTATTTAAGAGGATTCGACAATGTTCAAATATTTACAGTTGCAATAAAAAACAACAAGTGATGGCCGATATAAATCACGCAAAAATGAATATTTTTCAGATCAATGTTCATAATCAATGTTTTTCATATCAACTATAGTACCTACCTGAATAATTTAGCTAATCATTTAGAAAATTTAATCGTGTTCTGAATATTTGGCCCATTTTGGCGGCTATAGTTATACATCCCCCCCCCACTTACAGAGATATTTGGGCTCGGGCTAACTTCCGGCAGCCCAGTCACCGTATAGATGGTAGAGCAACTACTATACAAATACATTTACCTCCCTTGCTACCTTTGCACTCGCTAGATATCACTCTGATATGCCGCATACTATACGTTACATTTCTAACTAACTCTTTCTTTTAACTACATTTCTTTGCTTACTGTCAACTTGCTTTCCATCGCACTTGGTTAACATACTGTCTGTCTCGTTATATGTAAGACATTTTCGTACCAACAAATTTAAATATTCAGATATGTTCCAGTTGATACAGTACAGTATATATGAATAAGACAGAAAGATCAAACCGGGTTGTTCCTTTTGGGGTCGTTCACATATTACGTAATCAGCCGAGGGGGGAGGGGGGGGTTTACAAATGCTTACGGTTGATTACGGGGGGGGGGGGGGGGGTTTCGGTCGTTGATTAATCATTAAGTAATCAAAAGTTTCTTTTTTACCCTCTAGAATAATAACAATTTGACAATATTTTAATTCAAATTCCACTCAATTTCACTCTGATAGTGATAAAATTTAGAAATTGATCGAATATCCGGCTATAATAGTTAGTAGTTTAGAAGGTGCTTGGCCAGATATCATAACAATGATTTCGGCTCATCATGAAAATAATGATAGCATGATCAGGGTAGCATGAAACGTAGAGAAAAGTGTTTTCTAGGAAAAAGTCAAGGGGGGGGGGGGGGGGGGGGGTCAGCCGTCAGGCCATGATTACGTAATATTGCTGTCAGGAGGGGGGGGGGGGGTTGGGTCTTGATTACGGTTGATTACGGAAGAGGGGGGGGGGAGGGGGGTAAAAATTGCTAAAATATTGATTACGTAATATGTGAACGACCCCTTTCTAAGTCTGTGTAAGTTTCTAAAGGTTTCTATAGGGGTCTTCGTTCGATGGTCTTTAGTCTTCTTATCACTTTAGCCTTTACATTTGCGAAGAGGTAAAGTTAAAGATGTGGCTTGTATGTATCTCTATGGTCCTGGAAGAGAAATGTACAGTATAGTAATGTATGGGGTATGTAAAAGTGGTCTTTGAGCGCTGTAGTGGGGATACGGTACAATATTGTGTACATCTAATATTATACATATTGAGGACTGAGGTCGTTTGATAATATATCATGAATGTTTAATTGCATATTGTACTGTGTAAGTGTGTACCTATTTTAGAAATTAACTGTTTTATTAGAGTTTTGGGGATCATTTTCATCATCTTTAGTGCAAAAAAAACAATGCCATTCCTACCATTTGATGAAACGAAGGTTTAGTTTCTTTTGTCGTTTTCGCTGCATGATATTGATAAATATGTTGCATTTTGCTTCACGATCGCTAAAATTTCTCCGATTAATGGTGATGATACCGTCTCTGCCTAAATTTTAGCATATAGTCTGGAGATGCGTCTCAAGAATAAACAGTCACACTGTTTAGAGCATTCTAACATTTGACTATCAGCATGGTGTTTAATGTTTATCCCACTTACAGTAGCACTTATTTGCTTCCTTTATGAAAAGCAAATATACTTTATAAAGCATATTTGCTTTTCATAAATAAAAGTAATGTGTATACCGTATATCCATAAATCACCTACTTGCTTACTGGTTAACATTTGGTTTGCTATATTATCATACAATCTCCTAATATAGTAATATCCTTCTCTCACCCTGGTATGACCTGATATGCGTGCGTCACACTACGTCATAACATGATCAGCAGACACATTCTGCTGCAGCCTTATCAGTTATTGGCTGGAAGATAAGTACCTACTACCTATCAAGTGTATTACATACGAACAAAAAATGTGGTGGGCCTTAAATGGAGGGGTGGCGTCCGCAGATAAGGTTACATCGACGTTTCGGCGGAAATGTTTGATACAGATTAATTGTTGACTTTTATCTTTTCATCCCTTTTAAGCCAATTACTTCATTTTGTTCACTTCAGCTTCGGTTGCATTAAACACGCTTACTTTGAAAACTCAATTTATTTTTGTAATAAAGATTAGATTTATGAAGGAGCACCATGGGTGAAGTTGAACATTATCACTCAATATGCAGTGGGTATAATGATCATGAAATTGTATCATGGAATTTCAAGTCAGATAAATCCTACCTTAACCTTGTTTTGATTGTTCAATTTCAGTGGTTAGGTTGTGTTAACGGGTGATACTCGTAAAATATCTGTTCCAACTCGGCGCGAGTCCTGGTAGGTTGTAAACCTCCAAAGGTTGTTAAATACCCTTACCTGTATCGAATACCTTTACCTGTATCGAATTCATTAAGGATCCGATGGCATTCTTTTTGAGCTAGTTGTTTAATCGTGATAACAGAATTTGAACTAGTCAGTTATGATGCATTCTGTTGACATGGCTACTATTTGCAACAGGTCAACAATTATAAATTGAACACTGATCAATCTCAAGTGTATAATCGTTTGTCTACAGTAGACAATTCCACGACTTGGTACAGTAATGTCACTGGGCTGACACTTAAAAGCTTGGCATGTTACACCACGTGACACTAATAGAGCACGTGATCAGCATATGCTAACTCATCCCTTCAATTAGATGTTAGCCACACGGCTGCTAGATGATATCAGTTCATAATGACGGACAAATATACTTTCTGATCTGTCTTCAATGATATGTTTATCAAGTTTTCGTTTTTAAATTAGTCTTATACAATATACATTCTGCGTTCTAAATCCAAAAGTTAGAAAATTAGTACTTCCGATTTTTCTACGTTGCAACAACCTTATCTCTCAAAAATGTTATCTCGATTTGCAGAAAAGTTAACATACAAAGTCAAAACAGTTTCAGTAAAGCAATCTTTCTATCGAAATATTGTTTACATGATTATGGTTGTTTAATTTTCAGTCACAAAGGAAAGACCCAATTAGTTAATTAACAGATCAATTCCAATTAGAGGCAAGTCGTGGCGATGGAGAGGGTATCTAATGTGTTTGTTTCATACCACAAGTTCGATGTTCTCTCCACGCAGGAGTGCTTTCAGAGTGTGTGGCACTGGTCCATCTACATAGGTGCCATCTACCTTATTGTGGTGTACAGTGCTCAGAAACTTGTTAAGGTGAGACCATTCTCTAGTGCACTGACTTGTAATTGTATTGAGTTTTTAAATTTTTATTGTGGTATGTAGCCGAGAAGAAGAAGCTAAATCTTATCAGTTTTTGACCCAACAATTCACAACTTAGGATCATGCTTACAAATTACAACTGCGTTGAAAACTCACTATTCTTCTAACAAATTTCATTTACAGACGAAGCACGACACAAAATGGATTTTGGCAGTTTGGAACTTTTGTCTAGCAGGGTTCAGCTTGTGGGGTGCATATCACGTGACTTGGCTACTAGTTCAAGATCTCATGACCCATGGCTTTGACATGACAGTTTGTTCGGGTGACTACTATTTACACAGGTAACTCATTTAAATAATTTCATGTTGGACAATTTGAAATCATACAATCTCATGAATAATAACTAACAACCTCAGGAAACCACTGGCTTACTGGCTCTACCTCTTCTGCCTCTCTAAGTTCCCTGAACTGTTTGACACAGCTTTCATAATTCTGAGAAAGGCTCCTTTACAGATACTGCACACCTATCACCATGCTTCTGTCCTTATCTTCTCCTGGCATATCCTGGCATACGGGCCTGGTGCCAGCTACTGGTGGGTTAAGCTTAATTCTACTAGCATATTGCCAACTCTTATTGGTTGAGAAAAAGTCTCAAACGATAGAGTATTATATATTCTTAGCAGTTGATGGACTATTGATAATTCTTTCTTGAATGCTCTTAGATAACAATTGACATGTTAATATTTTTCGGCAACAGGCTTACTGATAGGTTCATTACTTGAAACATGTTCTAAAGCTTAGTTTTCCGTTCAGGTACGCCGCGATGAACTTCTTGGTACATGCTATCATGTATACTTACTTCTGCTTACGTGCCGTGAAGATCCAGGTAAGGATAAATTTTAGAACTGATGGTTAAATGACCTTCGTCGAAGTTGGCTCAAGCTCAAGATGGTGACAGTAACACATTCACTTAAAAAAACTAGAAACATTACCTTCCATATACAGTGAATACACGATCAAGTTTCTAATTCATAGCCATAATGTCTAAACCTACTTTAATAAAAACCCCGTATTTCAGATACCACTGATCCTAGCAAAGTGTATAACGTCCCTGCAGTCAGTGCAGATGCTTGTTGGATTTACGGTTAATTTCTACAGCATTTACAGAAAGTTGAAGGGGGAGGAGTGCGGTAACACCTACGCTCACAGCATTGTCGCTATTGCTCTTTACTTCAGCTACTTTGTGCTGTTCTTGAGGTTCGCTCAGCAGAGATATTCGAAACCCAAGACTCAATAAAGACATTCAATTCTATGCTATTTTTATATAGATTGAAATTTAAGTCTGTTTACGGTTTGCTACATATTCGAAGATTCGCTGTTTTGGGGGAATTAACTAAACTTGGAACAGTTATCGAATTTAAATGCCCTAAAGATATGTTTCTTATTCTTGTATTGACTGAAACTCTATACTGTAGAGAAATGTAGGTTTTATACTTTTTTACTGACTCTATGAATGACCGGCCAGGGACAGTGACCGATGTGATTGTGGATACATTTAAGTATTAAAAGTATTATGTGAGGCGACTTTTCGAGTGTGGATGTTACTATTTTCTAGTAAAGTTCAATGATCAATTGTATTGTATTGTATCAGATGCCTTCGTGGAGTAGGTGGTCTCCTGCACTTTTTCCTCCTCGACATAATAGAAAAAAAACCTAGACATGCAATGATCAATGAAAATAGTATTTATTCTGTACCCTGCAGTTCACTGCCTTAATGAAGTTAGATCATCGGAAATATTCATACGGAACATTGGTAGAAAGCTATGATTATTGAGTTTAAGGAATTCAAATAAGAAGATACATGAGCCATAATCGATCAAATTCATAAATAGAAACGTCCTTAACTTTAACATGAACCTGCTAGGTGGAAACTAATTGCCAATATTCATTTCAAACTAAAATCTTATATTAAGAAGTTTTCAATTCAATAAAAATGTATGTCATATAACAAATTTTATGGTACAAATACACAATTATAATCCCTTACGATTGATCAACACATATACAAAAACGATCACTATTTGACATCCAGGCTGGGATTACGGCATTCAAAGATTTATGATTTAAATCACTGACAAAATGTCAACCTAAACAATGAAAAATACAAAAAATTTGAAGTAATATCATGTCAATTTGCTGACTCGTTTCTAATGTCTTCTGCAGATTTGAATTGATCCACGATAAAATCATGATCTTGTATAGGCTCGTGTCCATTACTGCTGGATAACGAATTTAAATTGTTTGGTGATAATTCAAGTTTGGACGGAGAGTTTTTGTTTCGAGCTAGAGAGTTTCTCAGAGAATCAATTGAATTTCTGATAAAGCTAGCTGCAACTTCAGTAGAAGTGTTTGTATCACCAGCTGAAACGCTTCTAATCTTAGCGAGATGATCAGGTGATTCAAATTGCTTTTTCAGTTCGGCATATTTAGATACGGAACAGGAATTAGCTGTCATATTCTGGGAAACTCCTGAATTCGATGGATCTCGAGAATAGTTGCTATCAGAAGAGAACCCATTAGTAGAGTCTGAAGCGCTTTCAACTTTCTTGTTAATAGAATTAGAATAATTGTATCCAGAGTTGTCGATCGACCCTATTGGATGCTCACGGCTGAATTCAGTCCCATACATTGTTCTGTTCTCGTTTGTTTTAATCTTCGGGGTAATTTCACCAGCCCGGTTCATGTTGGAAACTCCTTCTGTTTTACTAGATCTAGAACTGATGTCTTGAGAGGAGTCAGTGTCGGAGTCCTCACTAGAATGTTCCTGGACGTCCTCGTGGAGAGTATCTACAGCGAAGGAAGCGAGGAGGGTCGATATGAGTCCTTGAGTTTGAGTGTGTGAGTCAGAACTTGCGACTCTTTTAGTTTGAGTGAGTCTGGACCGAGTAGTGGGTTTTTGTTCTTTCAGCATCCCTGCCATCTTGTACAGCATCTCTCGGTATAAAGACGATAATTGTCTCTCCTGAAAAGAGTACGGGTTCAAAATTCAAGCTCTGCCCAACCCCCAAATCATAATCACAATCCATATTCTACCAGAAAGATAACCTACGTGGTGATGGTACAACTTTCTTTCCAAGCACAGCGACATACCCGATTAAGATCTGACGTTAGTTGGCTGATCTGCTCTGTCATGACGGAGTAGTGTGTCTGATACCGCCAAACAGCTAGTGACATTATCAAATTCTTATTCTGTTTCCTGCTGCGGTAACCCCTCCAAACTGACTGAATCTTTACAACTCCTCCAATCTCTGAAACAATAACGGCTTAATTTCATTCATTCTAGATTAGAATTCTCCAGATTGGAGGAGAGACTTTTAATCCGTAAACTAGGTGTTATTCACTTGAACACCGTGTAATACCTTGTTGAGACAGAAGGGTAAGATGTAATACCTTGTTGAGACAGAAGGGTAAGATCAGGAAGGTCAAATAAGAATTCAGGGAGAACCACAAGTCTGTCACTTCCTGACGACCGTCGTAACTCAGTAACTGCTTCTTCAGACTGTAGAGAAACAGCACCTTCTGATGAACCACTCCTCTCCAAGGGTGAGATGAGGGCTTCATTCTCCTCGGGAAGTTCGGGAGTTACGTTCAAACACTTGCTGAAGTCGTCTGAGATGTTTAAGTATACACTCTCACTGTCCATTTCTTGCTCGAGATGCTCGAATCTGAGGTGTTTATTGTCAGGAATTACGATATCAATAATTTTAAGGAGGAGAACTGCCTTAATTTCCAGCGATCGATGTGATGCCGTATTCTGTACCGCTTAATCTCCGAACCATTTGTAAAATAGGAATTTCGATACTCAAAAGGCGATTAGTTAACCAGGTTTCAGTGGGTTTAAATACCTGCAAGAAGAGGGAGAAGTGAACACGGATTTGGATCTTCCCCTTCTTCCAACAGGTGGTCCATCAGGCTCAATAGGAGGAGAGAAGGGGCTTTGAACAAGAGAACTTCGTCTGGCTCGGACTCGTGGCATAGCTGAGGAGTGGGGAGTGAGGAGTATAATATAACATAAGCCATGAATTACAATAAGTCGTGATAGGACGGTGAACATTGAACGATGTCATGCTTTTGTTAGTTACACTTTTAAGATCCATCCATATACCACACAAACAAATATTATACATTATGTATACCAGATGACGCAGGGCGATTGTTGTATTCATCGTAAGCAGTGTTTACAGATCCCCCACCCGACATGTCATCAGGACTATCAACAACTGGAGGCCTGACGTCCCGGACATTGGCAGCAAAGGGTTGGTTCTCTTTGGTGGGTGACTGTGAAACATCTGTCTTTGATCTTTCTCTTACCCTCGGCCTGTGATGTGTTATGGTATGACAATAATGTGAAGTATTTCAAGGCATTCCCTGATTCCCTTGATGAACATCATTGGTGATCCCAACGAAACTATGTATAATCGAAATATAATGGTTATGAGTAACCATTCAATTTACCTTTCATCTCTGATAGCAGAAAATGATGCTTCACCAGAGATCAGCATCTTCTTCTCCAACTTTCTAGCATGTTCCCTGAGAGAAAGGGTTGATCACGTGCTTCTAGTAAGGCAGGCTAATAAAACGCTGTATTTTTTAAAACTAAAAATTACAAAATAAGCACCATGTGTGATGTGCGGATAACTATTTTTACAGTAACTTGATGCAAACTGACTGATGAAAAAGTTAAGTCGTTAAGTCGTGACCCAAGGACGGATTGCGAATAATATGGAAAAGATTTTTGCTCTTTCTCGCTAAATCAGGTTATCATGTTAACTATGGTTAGCGGTTACTATCCAGTGACACATTTGTGACTTGCTAGTGCCTAGTGCCAGTCTAGCCCATGAAATGCCAACCGCCAATATCGGTCTCTGAAATGCGCGCATTGTTTTCAAAATTGTGCTCAACTGTCAGTACATTCGTTGTAAGATAACTTTAAATTTATCACTCGTTTTCAATATCTTATATGCGTTATATAGTCAGCCCGTTGATAAAATAAGTATATTTTATTTATCTTCTTAATTCAATGATCAATCAATAAGGGAGTTAAATTAAATTAAATTAAAAGAATTAAATACACTAGCTGCTTAAATATCGTACTTTAATCACAACCATCAAAAAGCGCGCAACGTAAAACGTTTGCGCGGGAAACTCCCATTTTAACTTTCTAACGGCAGGTGCGTGGTGATGCATTACAATCCATGGTCAGATCAATGATGGTCACGCTAGCTCCGAGGGTCACTCCCACGTTCAGCGAGGGAGCTGGAGTTACAATCTTATACTACAATACTATATTAGACAAGGTTACCGTCTCATAGTTCATACAACAATAGTGTGGTTTAGTAGTCTACAATTGGTCGATAATTTCCAAAAACACAACAATCCTCCTCTAGGTCCAAGGAGAGTACTTTAAAAGCGAACTGTTACATTGTATAGAACTAATGCGATATCATGTCAACTAATGTGATATTAACCAAGAACAGACAGCGTCAGTATGTGTTGTATTTGGAAAGGCAGGCATTATTACCCAGGAGGATCATTAGTAGACCTTCAGAAAGAGTTATTAGCTGCTGAATATCAGCAGTTAAATGACAAAAAATGGTATAATTTGTCATCGGTAGAGAATAACGTGAAAGCTGAGATTAAAAAAGTCAATTAGTTCAGCAGCAGGATTCTTGTTGGATCAGAATGTTCTAAAAACTGTTGTTAAAAACGTTGTGGCGCAGAGGAAAGCAGAAGCCGAAATCTGATAATATTTGGACTGGCAGAAAATTCTGATGAGAAGATAAATGAACATTAAATAAGTCAGTGATGTGCTGCTGCAGCTCACCGAAAAGCCTAATATCAAAGGAAGCCGAATTGGTCAAAATTGTGCTGTGGGTGGAAAGCAACGTGTTCGACCTGTGAAAGTAACTATTGCAAGCTCGAGCATCGTGCAGCAAGTTTTAAGCAAAGCAAGACAACTTTACAAATCTTTATTACCCCTGACTGTTCCGTTGAGCAGTACAAAGTGCTGAGCAAAAGATAGTCGCTGTGGAACGCAACAAGAAGGCAGAGGAAAAGCCTGATAACAGACATTTCTCAAGGAAGGACAAGTTTGCAGTGTGGACAATAACAAATGTTTTAAAGTTGTGAAATGAGAACAGTTTTGTTGTGTTTTTATGATGACTCTGTTTATGTGATTTTAATATTACTGATAAGCAATATTGCATATTTTATTTCCATACAAGACTGAAAGTCTTCGAGATTTAAAATTGATTCTGTCAAGTAAGCAGCGGAATTTCGATTGATTTTGATTAACAAGGTATTTATTTCATATTATTATTATGTAATCATTTCTTTTGTAAATAGTCATTAGAACTGCCCCGGCACCGTCCGGATCCAAACAAACAAACGGGCCTTTTACTGTTATTTTAGCTCGCAAAAGTAACAGCCATTCATACACAAAAATATGGTATTTTGAGTGATGGAGGCCGAGGGTATTGGGTTGCTCAACCGTCGTCAATCGATTCCTCTTGAATTTTAATATCGGATTGATGGTCTAGTTGCGATTGAGTTTTAAGTGGTCAATATGAAGAGTGGCGTATTTTACACATGACTTTATCCACAAATTAAGCTTTCATTACAGTGGTAGAATATCTCCCTAGACGTGCACAGAAACTGTTTATCGGTAGATCAATTAAAACTATGAGTTACACGATGTGTTTAATATTTACAATGTAAGGTTTTACTTATTTTTACTTATTCTCCATCAAAGTGCGGGCCCTTGCTAGAAGGGTAAAACTAGTAATGTAGAGAATTATAAATAACAACAGTCAACACTACACAAAAACCTAAAGTTGCATAGCCTGCTGTAATTCAATAATCTGTCATCATTAAATTGGATTGATTTAAAATGATGTTCGAGGTGTCATGTAACAAAAATGTAAAGTATGTTAAAATTGGGGTTAGAATCAGTGACACAGAACGAGTGAGCGATCATTACAAGTGAGCGATCATTACAAGTGCTACGGATAAGATGGTATAATTTTAAGAAAACATCCACGTTATTTCAAGTCTGGAGATTTGGAAACATCATGAAATTAGAAGATTAGTAGCTTGAAGTAGACAGTAAACAAGCTGCTGTTAGACAGTGATTAACTCGAATAATAATGTAACAATCTAACTCTATCCGTTTGAAAATGAAACAGCATTTCTTCTCTAATTCTGGAGCACTGAAGCACCATATAATTCAATGTTAAAAACTTCGAACAATTTGGGTAAGACACGGCGCATTAATTCCATCGGCCTACTATGTCGGATATGATTGATAAATAATTATTTACATTACTAAAAGTACAGTCTAACATGCCCTAGTAGAGCTAACCGCCCTGCAACATGAAATATTCTGATGCAAAGTCTGACGTCACTACAAAACATTTCCATAATATGCAATGAAATCACATAACCTTATCATGTAACATGGTGAATCAAATAAGTGACTTATCATCAGGTGATAAACGTAAGACCTTGAGATCAGAATTATTGTGAGGGATTGGTTTTTATATAATAACAAACAATCCGTCAGCTTGTTATTATTGTGGCTTACATAAACTGTCACACGTTTAATGTAAGAATGTATTGTAAGGGATTGTAACCATGTGCTCAAACTTTACTTGTTGTTTCAATTGTAAATATTCAATCACTGCATCTGAAAGGTTCGTGCATGATTAACTCGTAGCATGACATGACCTAGTTTAAACCACCGCCAGAACATTGTAAATCTCGATTCAAATTTTGAATCATGAAATTTTGACGGGGACCGAACGGTAATATTCACAAGATATTAAAACCGTGGTTACTAAGCAACTAAACAAGGTTCACCGGGGTAACCATAACTACGAAGCTGCCAGCATTCAGCATATTCAAAATATTCGTAATTTTACGAAAGCCTAAGACGCTGAGTATGCAACCATGGTTCCCTTCTGCTGCAACTGATAATTATTACAAATAGGATTAATGATTAGGTCAGAGGTGCTAATTGCCTAATTAATTACAGTCCAAACTGAATAATGTAATGCCCCCAAAATACAAAATCACAACTTGACACGGTGACAGAAAATGAACAAACACGAGCTACTAAAAGTTCAGAAACGCGACAAATCCGGCAACATATTAGACAACGAGCCGGGTCACCGTGGTGCGGATTAGATAAGAACAGTACTTCACTAATCACGTGACTGTGGTTACTCACGTGAGGTGAATATCACGTTACAGAACCAGCCCTAGTAGCAGCTAGCAGCAAGACAACTCCTGACTGTAAAGTAACACGAGAGTTGTAATATTGTACGATACTCCGTACTGAGGAGGTTTAAAATAGCAACTGACTCTTTTTGTTTAACAAATTTAACATTTTACGACGCAGCTGTTACACTTACAGTAGTAAAAGTTGTGAAATCGGAGGGTTTGAAGTACCATGCCAGGTCATAATTATGGCCGACTCTTATTTCTTATTAACAACAAGCCAATACTATGATGAAGCCAGTAACAGCTACAGTTAAATAACACCTCTGAGTAAATGTTTACTGTTTAGGTGGAGTATCTGTGTTTTATTAAAATATTCTACGTGTAGCGTCGGAGAGAGAGCGGAGCAGGGCACGTTTTTTAAGTAGTCTTCAAGTGGTCCGTGATAATATCTAAACTATACGTGGGACAGTGTGACTAATACGTTTACTAGTGAGAGTCGTACTAATTTAGGAAATGGGAACTAAACATGACCGGATCAACTAAGTATAATATATAAATGTGTCCTGGTTCGAAGAAGATGACAATTTAAGCTGTGGAATACGGTTATCTCACATCTTATTATGAAACACCTGTCAAATCACTCAGTATTAGATTACATCTTCATACTGTTCTGTCTATCACTACCAAATATGGGCATGTGCAACAAGAGCGACAACCGAGAAGTATGTTAACTTGAGAAAGGATCCTGGGCAAATCAACAGAGAAACAATACAATGTTATAACGTGAAATGAAATGATTGGTAAATCAATGAATCTCCAAAACACCTACAATACAATCCTACAACAATAGTCAACATGGTGACTAACCACCACTGTCAGGAGCGTATAATTGCAGACTATATAAACCAAAGTACCGTGCAGTGTCTCATTCTTAGCAAGCAGGATTATTATTCCTTCTACGAGGGAGACCTACAATACATTGTTGTATATGATATGGCGTATCTTTAAATGAAATTGTGTTTAAAAGAATAATGGTCTATTTAACTGTACCCACCCTGTTTGTGTTAATTGTTAAACAACCGGAAGTTTAAAATTTTGCAATTTGCATACTTTCGTTATACTGTAGATAATTGTTAAAATACGGGGGGCTGCACGTCGTATAATACACGGCTCGGTTCTCCTCTATTTTGCCAACCATACCACTTTACTTACAGCATACTAATTTCCAAGCTGAATTTGACTCAGCAGCGCATAGTAATAAAGTTATGATATCGTTAATTTCACCGACCCTCATGTACCTTGAGTTAAGGTCATTTTGGTGAACAAAATTTTGCGGAAACTTGAACTTTTAAGAAATCCTCCAACACGTTAACACGTTTGTCGCTCATATTAATTATTATACTAATTATTTATTAATTATTATATTAATTCCGTGTTTTCCCTGAATCTTGTATTTGAAAGCTTTTGAAGCGATCAACATGTCGTATCACTTATATTTCATGTTTCCATAATAGGTTAATTGTTATTGCTATTATTTATTACTGTAATTGATTATTGCCAACAATGATAACCTTGTATCCGGTGCAAGAGGCTCGTGGTCAATAAACTCCACACTTGGACAGCACATCACAGCGAATATCTGGTAGGGTGATGCACAGTTGTTAGCACAGTTGTTATCCGCCAAACTCAACCTCTCCAGAACCCTGTGACATTAATTTTTAGCACAGAGTAACACAGAAAACGGTCCAAAATTCTTTAATCATGAAAGTTATCTATACTAGAAACCATTGGCCCTGTCAAACTGTGGATATAAGGTAAGGATTTGGGGAATAAATGCCACTGATTTTAAGAGTTTATCACTTTCGTTACTTTGGACGAATCATCGAAATTGTGATTATCTTTATAGATTTTCACCTGAGTCTGGTTAGATAAGCAAGTTGTCCGATATCAGATATTCTGTTATCAGCAAGAGATAAGACAGACAGACAGACAGGTAGGCACAGTGGAGCTGACTCTAGAGTTGTTATCTCGTTACCATGCAGATATAGTTCCTGGACACCAAGTTAGTTTCATTAATTTAATTAATTAGTTTAATTAGCATCCTCCTTAATATCCGGTGAGATTATCGGAAAATTTGGAAAACCCACTGAGTTATTCAAAATATGTTTTTAAGGGGTGTAGACTATAGATGTGGATTTTGGGGAGGTGAAACATATTTTCCTGACACATTGAGTGCAATGAACCAATTCCAACAGTGACCAATCAAATCCCAGAATCACTGTCACGTGTCAAAACAAAACGTGTTTCATCTCCTCACCTCAATCCACATCTATTGATATACAATTATAAAAATACCAAAAGTTAGAAATATTGAACATACCCTAAGAGATGTAAGAGAGGAGATATCAGCGAGAGTATTGATACTGTTATAAGACAGGTCTATCTTGGTAAGAGAGGTGCAGTGGTGCAACCCAGTGAAGCTTTGGAGGCAGTTCCTGGATAAAGATAGCTCCTCTAGTTTGGAACATTCCCCTACTCCTAATGAAAAACAATGTGGATACTGTTAGGTGAAAATCGGATATTGCAATTACCTTCGAACAAATTCGGTGTAATTTAACAATGTATACATTACACAATGTATATTGTATGTTCTGTAATATTGTTAAGCTGTACTTAATGTTATGTAATAGAAAAAACGACCAAAGAGAAATAACAGCAATTAAAATCAAAGGATGATTTAGCAAACCTGTGATTTTGTTTATGACATTATCAATTAAATGCAGAAGTTTCAAGTTTTGCAGGTAACCAACAGGACTCATATCCTCTATTTCGTTATAGCAAGCTGACAGCTGAAATAATAATACCATAAAGATCTCCCATAGTTAGTAAAGCAAGTTTAAAAAAAAACCCAGCCAATTCCTAGAATGTAAAAAGTAAGGTCTGTACAAAATTGGTAATACCTGGCGCAGTGAGTTACAGTATTTCACATTCTTAATGTTGGTTAGAAGGTTGTTATCCAGAATCAAGGTGTTGTAACGTAATTTAGTGGGAGGAATGTAATCTGTGAGGTTCCTGTTTGAGAGATTGCAGCACTGCTCTGCCATTGTCATGGTGATAGTTGGCTACAGAGAAAATAACTATGTAATTGTAAGTTTAACTAATAAATAGGCATCGACCGGGATCTATTACACAACGTTGTGTGTAACTTTGCAATACAGAATATGTAATAATACATTGATATTTCATTATAATGAATTTTTCAACAATATCATTCTAATTTGTACAGTTTGAATCAAATTTAAAATATGGAAAATGTAAATTTAATAAAGTAAAATTTCATTGGGGCTAGACCTGGGTGGCCCACAGGAAGATAACATGTAGAGTGTAGACTGCAGAGTGTTATAGACGCTGTGCATGCCTCTGGGATGTGAGGAGGAATTAATAAATTCCCAGGTGCCGAACCAAGAGATAAACAGCTAAAGCTGCTTTAACTTAAGTAAACCAGCCTGAAAATTAATACGTAAACTCGGTTTGATCCTCAGGCACAATCCTCAGGCACAATTACTAAATTAACAATGGTAGGAACGTGTTGGTTTTTGGGTAAGTAATACCACAGCCCACATTTGGGCTTATAAATTGGCCATGATTCAAGTTTGACACCTGTAATTTTACAGATGGCACACTGTTACTACTCATTCGAGTTGTTGGAGGCCAAGCCAAAACCCTTTCAACAATAAATTGATTGTATCAGTTCCATGTGACATGTTAGAAACTCCATTTCTAAAAATGTTGTTTTCCTTAATCATTTTGTTTCTATCATTAGCAAATTCACTGGGTAATTATGTGATAATTGGCCTTTCTTATTGAAAAAAAACTTTAAGTAAAATGGTGAAGTGTGTCACAGATCTTTCTGAATCCGTTCAGAGAAAGTGTTGGGTTCTACATCTTTGTTGAGTTGTTACTCGTGGTGCGGTTACATGAAGGAGGATGGAAAACGTAGAAGCGTTTTTATTTAAAAATTTTTTAAAAATTAAGAGGGTTGGTTCAAGATAGCCCACTAGAGGATAGCATCAAGAGATGTTCTGCCTACCTCTGGGGTGTGGCAACCCTGGGGAAGGTTGCCGGTGAAATCATAGTGAATGGTGGAGGATGGTGTAAAAAGTGACATGAGTCAAGATGATACGCCTAAGTGCCAGCTGGGTTTGGAAAAGTAAAATAATAATAATAATAATAATTTAAACTTTTATATTATAGTGGCACAACAACTTAAAATGCACAGGTGTGCCACGAAAACAGTTTGCAGGATACAATAAAACCTGAAAAAGCAACCCACATTTATATTCTAAACCAGATAAGGGTGATTAGACTTGATACACTTAATAAATGATAATGTGTATGCATTTTCCAGTAGAACCAAATAGGGAAAACTAGGATTGAAAAATATTAAGATATAATATTATGAGCACGTTTAAAAAAGAAATGTTTTCAGATACACTTTAAAGAGTCCAATGTTGTACAATTCTTAATCTCAAATGGTAGATCATTCCATAATTTAGGGCCAACTTTCTGAAAAGATCTCTCTCCATATTGTGTATGCACTCTAGGTTCAGTCAAATAAATAAGATGCTTATAGTTTGCAAATTTAAACATTGTACTTTAACAATCTGGTCCCATGCCATTTAGACATTTATAAACAAGAAGTAATAATTTGTACTGAATTCTGTAACTGATAGGCAGCCAATGAAGGTCTTTCAGAGTATCTCCTAAATGATCATGTTTATATAGTCCTACTATAGCTTTAGCAGCAGCATTTTGAATGAGTTGAAGCTGATGGATGAGGTAGTCACTGATTCCAAAATAAAGGGCGTTGCAGTAATCCAATTTGCAGACGATAATGCTATTAACAATAAGCTTAAGCTGAGCTTTACTAAAAAGATACTTTCTTCTGATAACATTCCTGAGGAGTCTAAAACAATGTTTTTTTAGGGACATGATTTGAGGCTCAAAGGTAAGGTGATGGTCGATTTGCACACCAAGATTTTTTGCTGTGCTGACAAATCTGATACACGTGTCATTTGACAGCTGTACTCCTCCTAAAGATATCTGATTCAACACATGAGGTGAGGCAATCACAAGTATTTGGGTTTTTCCTGGGTTGAGTTGTAGGCAGTATTCAACCATCCAGCGCTGTATGGTCCTGGCACAATTTACAAGTTGAATACCCAAAACATTAACCTGATCACAAGGTTTGAAGGTTTTGTATACCTGGTGGTCATCTGCATATCCTTGCACGTTGAATACAGATTCCTCTATAGTCCTATACAGAGATCGGATGTATATGTTGAACAAAACTGGTCCTAACACTGAATTTAGCAGTACTCTGGAGGGCAATCACGAACTGAACGATGCAGTCATAAAATGTCTCCACAGTGCTGCTGATATAGCCTTAAAAGTGAAAAAGCCTCCCAAAAATTCTGCCCGTAAAAAATGGTTCGACCCACAAGTCAACTCCTCGCGGCGGAACCTTAATAGGCTAGCAAATCGGCTTGGTAGTAAGCACTGTAACAGTATCCTCAGACTAGAATATTTTAAGCAACGCAACAAGCATAGCAATTTTGTAAACAGTAAGAAAGTAGCTTTTCTTAAGAAGTTAAATGAAGCTATAGAAGAAGGTCACATACTCGACTGGAAAAAATTTAAACGGCTTAAACAAGAACATGACACTAGCCCCTTACTTGACAAATTTGATTTAGCTAGCTTCCATGACTTCTTTGCATCCCTTTATAAAAAACCAGACCAGGAGCCAGATCTCACTCACCACAATCACAAACATTACCCTGAACCACCAGATCTGGATATCCTAAATAAGCTCGTGTCAGAATCTGAAGTGACCTCTGCCATCAAAAATCTCAAAAAAGGTAAAAGTTGCTCAAACGACTTGATATCCAACGAGATGCTTCAGAGCGTAACTCCGCTTTGTCTCAAAGCCATCCTCAAAAACTTCAACCACTCACTGGTCTCCGGTTACTATCCATGGCACACCAGCATCATTACTCCTATTTACAAGTCTGGCAACCCTTTCAGCCCGGACAACTACAGAGCAATAGCTGTTGGTAGCTGTATGGGTAAACTGTTTTCTAGCATCTTACTTGAGCGTCTCCTGCACTTCAAAAAGCTCTACTGCCCTGACCCAAAAGAACAACTAGGGTTCTCGAAGGGTGCTCAAACAAATGACCACGTTTTTACCCTTAAGACAGTCATTGACAAATATACCAAGGTTAAGAAAGCTCGTCTCTATGCATGCTTTGTTGATCTAAGAAAGGCCTTTGACACTGTATGTAGGGACCTCCTTCTGCACAAAATCACATGCCTTGGAATAACTGGAAACTTCTTCAATTGCCTAAGTGATATGTATAGAAACTCAATAGCTCATATAAAAATCTCCAAACTCTTGTCCCCTAATATTGACATTGGAAAAGGAACAGAGCAGGGACACCCTCTATCACCGGACCTTTTTAAAATCTATATCAACGACTTGTCATCTCTCCTGAAATCTGTTGGTGATTATCCTATTCTAGCTGACGTCCTAATATCACATCTGCTCTGGGCTGACGATCTTGTCCTACTTGCCCTAAGTCCCAAGGCCTTGCAAGACAATATAAACATCCTATTCGACTTCTGTAACTCTATGGGCCTTGAAGTAAATATTAAAAAAACCAAGATTCTCATATTCTGCCCTCCTAAAAGAAAACAATCCTATGAAACATTCATTTTGGGAGGCCAGCCCATCCAACACACCGAAAAATACTGCTATCTTGGCATTATATTCCACAGAAATGGATCTTTTACAGCAGCAAATACTGAACTGAGGGCCAAGGCTCTCCGTGCTCTCTATGGCCTCAAAGGCAATATCGTCAAAGATGCCCTCTCTCACCGTTCTCTAGAAACATTCTATTTGACTCTCTAATAAAACCGATACTGCTCTATGGCTGCCAAATCTTATGTCCTCACTCAAAAACCATGAGATACCTCTCCAAAACAGATAGCAAAGTCAACCCCCAGCATACTCTTAGGTACATCTCACAAGACCACTATGAAAGATTCCACCTTAAGTTTATCAAGTGGTCCTTGTCTGTCCATTCAAAAGCATCAAATATAGGCTGCTGGGGCGAAAGTGGGCGCCACCCCCTCTTCTTTGAAGCCTGCAAACTTGCAATAGATTTCTATATTCGCCTTGAAAGCACTGAAAATGAACTTCTCTCTGCTGCATTTCACGAGCAGATTATGCTGGGCCTTCCTTGGTACACCAACATCTCTAATCTTCTCACCAAATATAACTTCCCCCACTCATCCTCTTCAAAATCCAAGCTCTCTACCCAAATCAGTCACAACATGAGGGAAGAATTTGTGGATACCTGGAAATCTGCCAAGGCATCCTCACCTAAATTAGAATTCTACAATCAAATTAAACATGATTTTGAACCAGAAACATACTTAGGAGCGGTTAAGATCCCCGATGCTCGGAAAAGCTTAACAAGGTTTCGTATTAGCTGCCACAATCTTTACATTGAGAGGGGCCGTTACGAAACCCCCCTAGTACCAAGAGAACATCGATGGTGCAATTTTTGCTTTTTCAGCAAGGGGCTTAAGCCTATTGAGGACGAAATTCATGTTCTAACTGACTGTTTACTCTACTCCTCAGTTAGAGAAAAATTTAACTTCCATCCCAAAAATATTACTGACCTAGCCGGTTTGCTATCCGATAAAACACTAGACCCTACAAAATTTACTGCCACAGCAAGAGCAATCCATTCAATTCTCTCTGTGAACGAAAATTTTACAGCCTACTATAAGAGCCCAGATTTCCACTCAAATACTGGCCAATGCATAATGCTATAGGACCTCAAAAATAGTATTATATTAAACATTTCTATTTTATCCCTACACATCTGTAAATAACTAGAATTGTGTAACCTTAAATTATTTCAGAATTATAACTATTGTGAATTCAATAAAATAATTATCACTTTTGTATCCTTGTATCCTTGTATCCTTGTATCCTTGTATCCTGAACCTTGTGGTACACCAAATTCAAGAATGATTGTATCACTTGTCGTGGAGCCTACCCTAGTTCTTTGA